CTCGCCGAGAACAACGCACACGTCCGATTGATGCCAGTACCAGCGACAGGCACCTCTGCTGGCACTGCAAAGTGCCACCTCGCACCCTGGATCGTGTCAGTTGCCTCGGTGCCGAGTTGCGTGCGTGCTCCTCCTCATCCCACGTCCCTCCTCATACTACTCCCTACTCCTCTTCCGCATCATCCGGCCTTCTTCCTCGTTCTGCTCCCACTCAATAATCATTAGCTTCCTCTCACTGCTCCACTTCTGGCCTCCTCCTCCTCCTCCTTCTACTGGCCCCTCATGCTGCTTCTCTTCCTCATTCCATCTCTACCGCTTCTCCTCCTGCTACTCATGCTGGTCCTCTCCCTCCTTCCTTCCTTCCGACCGCTTGACGCGCACCCACAGTCGGGCGGCGCGCCCGGCCGGGCCGCCCGGCGCGGGCTCCTACATTTCCCGCAGGTGGGCCTCCTAGCGCCCAGCCTGCGGCTGCTGCTGCCCCTCCCCGCGGCCAGGGGGTCTGGTGGGTGGCGCCCGACGCCGACGCGGGGGGCCCCTGCGCACCAGCCCTCTGGGGAGGGGGTCCCCCGGCGGCCCCCCCGACGCTAGGCCGGACGAGTGCCGCTCGGTGGGTAGCCTCCGGCAGCCCCGCTTGGGGCGGGTGGCTGCTCGGTAGGCACTCTCGCCAGAGCGGGGTGGCAATGCACGGGGCGACATCGTACGGCGAGTGGCTGCACTCCAGACGTGCCCAGGCCAGCCACCGGACACCCCAATGGCGCCCGGGGGCGGCCCGCCGCATGGCAAGCTTGGCCAGCGCCAAGCTTCACTTGGGCTGGCCGCCCCGGGGTGCTCACCGGCGAGCCCCAGGACTCCCCGAACCGTCCGAGCACTCCCGGCAAGCCCCCCCCCCCGAAGGACGCCCGCCCCGGCCCCGGCACGGGGCCACCCCCCAGCCCCCAGCCCCCGGGCCCGCGCCGGAGGCTGGGCCAACCGGGGCCAACAAGCTCCGGTGCGTCCATGGGTGCCCCTCGGACGGGGTCGTCGGTGCGGGCGTCCCCCGGGATCAGGGGCCTCCTGTCAATGCCTCACTCTGGCGCGGGTCAGGGCCGGGCACGAGGGCACGGAAAAAGGTATGAACAAATATTCATACCTTTTTCAGCCTGCGGCGGCTTCCATACGGGGGGGAGAGAGAGGCGGGCCGGCGGGGGGCGAGGGCCAGGGAGGGAGGAGGGGAGGGCGGGGAGGAGGCGAGGGGGCCAGGGCGACGAGGGGGCGAGGGCGGGGGGGCGAGGGGCCGGAGACGAGTCGGAAGGGGGCCAGTCTATCGCCACTTCTTATATCTCGCTACTCCGCTCTGGTTCTATCATGGGGCCCGCGCGGCAGCCTCCGCAGCTGCCTCCTCCGCAGCTGCCTCCAGCCGGCGCGCCTCGGCGGCCGTGGGGGGGCTGCTCGCCCAGCCCGCTGCCGCCGGCCCCGCGCGCCCCAGCGCTGCCACCGCCGGGGGGCACTGCTCCAGGTGGGCCCAGGTCTCGAGCGAGGCGCCGCAGAACCGGCACGCGGCCACCGCCCCGGTCGCATCACGCAGGAGGGCGCCCTGCAAGGCGAGGCGAGCCCACGCTCGAACCTCTGGTAGCGTGGCTCCCTGCGCGCTTAGGTCTGCCGCCGTGGCCCCGGTGCCCGCTGGCCGCTGGAGGGCTTCCCGCTGCGCGGGCTCGGCCAGCCATGCCCTGTCTTGGCCACGAGCGGCAGCCCGCACCAGGCGCCTGAACCTGATCGCGGCGGCCGGCCCAGTCGCCGGTCCGGGCGGCTCGGGCACGCCCCAGCGCACCATTAACTGGCGGACGTGGTGCGTCCATGTGCCAGCCGCGTCTTGGGCGAGAGCCAAGACCGCCTTTGCCTCGGCGTATCTCGGCTCCACCTGGGCACGGCAGTACAGCCGGATCGTGCGCTCTTCTATGAGCGTCGAGAGCCGCATCGGCCACCCCACATGGCGGAGGAGCAGGGCCCGCGGGATGGGCCCGCAGACTCCGAGGGCCCCTCGGGCCCACCGCTCCTGGATGCGGTTGAGCGTTGGCCCACTCGCCTTCGCGTGGATGCACAGCTCGGCCCCGCACACTGTCTTGGGCTGGGCGCAGGCAGTGATGCCGAGGGAGACCTCCTGCAGCGAGAACCCCAGGCCGCTCATCGTCTGCATGTGCCGCCGCCCGACCTCGCCCGCCGCCCGCTCCATGGCAGTGAGGTGCGCACTGCCTGGCTGCCCTGACGATCGCTGGACGCCCAGGCTCCGGTACTCGTCCACGAAGGAGACACCGTGGGTGGGCCTGGTGTAAGCGAAGCCCCGGGCGAGGATCGCTGTCTTGGTGGGTCCGTAGCGGAGGTGTCCACGATGGCGGCGGGCGGCTTCCTGGAGGGCCTTGACGACGACCCCGCACTGCGCTCTCGAGCTCGCCTTGGCACGGACATCGCCCACAAATGCCCTGGGCCCGATCCCCATGGTGGAGAACGCGTCCAGGAGCCCCAGCCGGATGGCATCCGACGACGCTGCTGCCATGCACCCATCCCAGTCCACGTGGCTGTCGCTGAGGAGCTGCGCCCATTGCTGGATTTCGTCGACGTCCAAGTGATCCGCGTCGGTCCCGTCCCTATGGGCGCGGTAGGCCGCCAGCGCCGCCTCGGGCGGGTCAAGTCCAAGGCCCACGCCCGGCACGCTCGCCACCTCCTCCAGCTTGTCTGCGTTGGCGAGGCTGTATTGCGCCGGGCTGAGGCCCCGGCCCTCCGGCATGCCCACTCTCGGCCGGAATGGCCTGGTGCGGCCTCCACGCCCGGCAACCACCACAGTGGTGTCTTTCAGCATGGACTCTGCGAGGAGCCATTGCCGGCCTGTGATGCCCGCCCTGTCGTGCATTGCCACCAACGCCTCTGTGCGATCCTGCGAGTCGAAGGCCTCCGCCTCGTCCGCGAATACGTCCGCGCAGGGGCGCCCCTGGGACGCACAGATGGCCGCTACCTCCTGGCCCAGGAGGCTGGAGACCAGGCTGTCCCCTCCCGCGTCCTGGAGGGCCCCCAGCCCGCCCTGGAGCAGCGCGCGGCCGCGGCCGCCCCACAGCTCTTCCGCGAAGCGCCCCTCCGCCGAGCACAGCGCGAGGACCCTGTAGCCGCCGTAGTCCACGCGCGGCTTGCCATCCTTGTGCGAGTGGTAATTATCCTGGACGAGCCACAGGCCAGGGAGGCGGCCAAGCCGGAGGCTGAGGGTGGCAAGGTGCAGCAGGGATTCGAGTACACCCACATGGGTACTGTGGAGGATGGCATAGGGGAGGCCCCTGCATTGGGCGCGCAGGCGGATCCTCCGCAAGGCCTGGCCTGCCTCTGCAAGGGTGTACGCCTCCTCCGGGTCCCACTGGGAGAGGGCGCGCCTGGCCTCCGAGCGCTGCCGCTCCAGGCGGGCCCGCATCGCCGCCGCGTGCTCCGCGTCCCATTCGCCGCCCCACGGCGGGTCGTCTCGCCTCAGGATGTACCGGCGCGCGCCATCCAGCACCTGCTCCGTGCCGACGAGCATGCGGCCCTCTTCCTCCGGATCCCGCATGATGGCCGGCAGGCCCTCTGGCGGCCCTGCCGAGTGCTCCTTGAGGACTGTTGCCGCCGCCAGCGGGTTCGTCTGGAGGAGGGCCAGCACCCGGTGGCGGGCGGCGTCCCGCTGGGCCCGGGCGCTCGCGCCTCGGACCTCCCGGAGGCGCTGCCTGGCGGCCTCAAGCGCAGCAAGGGATGTCGCCGTGGCTGCTCGCTGGCGCCGGGCGGCTGCCTGGGTCACCTCCCGGAATGCCGCGGACTCAGCCGCGTCAGCGTCATGCCGGCGGTGCGCTGCGGGCGGTGGCGCCCAGGCGAGGTCCCCCGCGGCTGCGGCCAGGGTGGCCGTCGTCCGCCATGCCCACGCCGCCATGTCCAGCGCTGCTTTGGCTTCCTGCGAGGTGGCTCGGGCCCAGGACGGCTGGTGGCATCGGGCGGCCAATTCACCTGCCAAGGTGGCCATGGTTCCATCCGCCAAAGCGGTCATCTCGTGGTTCCACTTCTCCGGGTCTTTGTCGTAACGTAGGGCTCCCTCATCGGGCCCCGCTTCTGCCACCACCGAGGCCGCAGCCCACGTGACCGGATGGTGGTCCAGATCGCGGGAACCCAAGGCCTCGCTCCGCGCCTGGCATAGGGCCCCCTTGCACCCATTGTCCCTGCAGTGCTTGCCGTTGTGGACCTGGACCATCGCGCAGCCACCAGCCGCTGGGGCAAGTACCACATCCAGTCTTCTTCCCCGGACGTGGGTGGCTACGCCCTCGGGGATCATGTGGCGGAGCCCCCGCTGCTCGACCGCCGCGCGGACCTGTGCATCAATGTCGTCTCCGGGGTTGAGGTCCCCCGCCATGTGCACCTGTGCGCCCGGGTGGCGGCGGCGCCCCGCAGCTCTCGCGCGGTCGTACTCAGAGAAGAGTGAGCGAACCGCGTCCGCCCGAGCGCGCTCGTTGGCTCCCCTCTCGCGTGGCGGGATGCTGAAGCCGCACCAGTACTCCCCAGCCCCCGTCTGCACCCAGCAGGTGCCCGGCCCGCTGGACCAATCTGGGAGGTGAGCCGCAGCATCTGGCTTCTCCCGGTGCACGAGGACGGTCACTGCTCCGAACCGGGCCGCGCGCGGACCGTGCAGCGTGTAGGGGAAGCTCGGGAGGGCGACCGCAAGGTTGGTGCCTTCTGGGCATCTGCACGAGACGCCAAAGAACCAGGCGGCGTTCAGGGCCGTCATGACCGCGCCGATGTCCTCCCAGCGCCGGGGGAGGATGGTCGCCCCCCCGATCTCGGCTCCGCCGCTGAGTCCAAAGTTCAGCATGCCCGCCGTGATGGCCGTGCCGGGGGGGCGCGGCATCGTGGCTGGCGACGGCGGAAGGCGGCGCTGCAACTCCGCGCACGACCTGCTGAGCCGCCGCGCCAAGGCCGCCGTGGCCGGGAGGTGCCGGCGGCCTGCCAGGCAACCCGCCTGCGGGTCCTCCCATCCGGGGGCTCGCCGCACGAGGTCAGCCAGACAATCTCGCCACGGCCCCGCCACCGCTGGCCGCCAGGTGGCCAGGGCTTGCTCCAGCTGGGCGGTCCGCTCGTTGAGCAGCTGCTCCTCCGCACTACGGAGGTCGGCGTCCACCCGGCGGGCATCCGCGGGGGTGCTTCCTGGGGGGCAGTTGGAGGTCAGCGCCGCGATGACCTCCCCCCCGAGCGAAAACCCGCCTGGCCGCCCCGCTGCTTCGCTCTCTCCGATAGCACTCCGTAACGCACCCTGATTGGGTTGGCTGCCGCCGTCACCCTGAAGTCGCTCGCCCTCCGTACCTCACCGCTGAACTGGTTGGCAAGCACCTGGGCCACTGCGTCCGCCGCACTGGGAGGCCCCGTTCCCAGGCGGACGCGCGCCGCCCCGTCAGCCCAGATCTGGACCAGGGTGCCCTGGTAGAGGGCGAGGGTCCACGGGAGGTTGGTGCTTGGGGGGACGTTCTTCACGCCGAACTCCCTGTCGAGGACGTCCCACACCCCCGTCAGGCCCATGCCGTCGAAGATCTCCGCGGCCGCCAGCACTGTGATCGCATCCTGGTGGTGCTGTTCCCACTGGGCGCGCTGCTCGAGCTCAGTGCGCTGGGTGCGCCGCGCGGCCCGGACCGGGTCCATCTGCCGGCCTGTCAGGCGGCCCTGCTCCGAGTTCCCTGGCTGGTAGGCTTTGTGGGACCTACGCAGCATCTCAAGCAGGGTGGGCTGCTGCGTCCACGCCCCATCTAGGCGGACACGCCCGTCCGTGGTGCGGAACCAGTTGATCGTCAACCCGATGCCCCGTACCTTGACGCAGGGCGTCGTGGCCGTGCATTTTGGGGTGAGGTGCGCGTTGCCGGTCACCTCGCCCCGCTTGGCTGGGTCCATCACGTAGGTGTCGACGAAGACCCCCGCCTGCGCAAGCGCCTCGAACCACTGCCACAGCTGGTCCTCCCAGGTTGCGTCCGCGGAGTGCACCGCAAACTCCAGCTCCATGGCCTCCGGCCCGGCCGCCGGGCGCCACCCCGGGAGGAGCGTGTCCTACAGGTACGCCAGCCGGGGTCGAGCTGGACGCTCCGCTCTGAGCCGGGCCCAGTGACTCTCATCAGACAAGCGGCCATTCTGTGCCGGCCGCGCCGCCACGTCTACGCGGGGCAGGGGCATGGGCAGCGGGGCGCGCTCCGCAGGCGGCCTGCCAGGATCGGGGCCAGGCGCGGTGCTGGCCGTCTCGGCCATCAGCGGGGGCCCGTCCGCGGCCACCCCGGCGGCCTCCGCGAGGAGTGCCCCGATGCCGAGGGGGTCGTCCGGCGAGCTCCCCTGAGCCGCCTCCTCTGCGTCTGAGTCCAGGGTAGGGGTCCCGCCGGTTGGGGCGGCTGCCGCGGCGCTCGGCGGGGCTGTTTCCGCCGCTTGGTCAGCACGCCTCTGCTGCTGGGCTGCAACGAGGCGCTCCCGGTGCTTTGCGGCCCCCTCGGCGTCGCCCAACTCCTCAAGCGTTTCCACCAATTGGCTCAGCTTGAGCTCGAGGGCAGTGGGCCCAGCCTCTGCGAGCCGGCGCCCCTGGTGGTACCCCGGGCGCTGGGGGGGCACCGCTGCGGCCGCGCTGGCAACCCCGTGCGTATCTCCGCCAGCGGAGGAGCCAGCCCCCGGCTCCTGGCGCACACGCGCCGCCGAGGCCCGCCCCGCCACCTGGCCCGGCAGGTCTTCAGGCCCGTCTGCGGGCGCGCGCAAGTGGGTCTGGATGAGCTCGGGGGTAATGTACTTGTGGCCGTGCGGCATCCTGACCCGTAGGCTCCCCGCCCGGCAGTGGAAGTTGCCGTCGAACTGGTCGTTCGCGTAGTGGGTGGTCACACGGCCCGCGACCCACTCGCGCCTGGTGTGGCTCCACACGTCCACCGCGTCCCCCACCTTGTGTCCGCCGGGCTGGCCCGTTTGGGAGCCCGCCGGCGGTGTTGGCGAGCATACGAGCCTGTCTTCGTCTGGTTCCGCTCCGCCCACTGCGTCTCCCGGGCTCGTCTTGGTCACTGTCTGGGTAGCGTCAGGCGAGTCCGCGTCCCGCTCTCGGCGCTGCCGCTTGCTGCTCCCGCCGCCGGCGGGTCCGGGGGTCGGGCTGCGCTTGCGGCGGCGGTCCCGGCGGCGGTCCCGGTCACGGTGCCCGTGCGTGTGCTCCTCAAGGGCATCCCGCACGACCTCACGCATGGAGGTGGAGGGCACCTTCTCCTGGAAGTACGCTGTCGCCACATACGCCGTCATGATCTTCTCGATGCGGCCCGGGTCCACGGTGCGGATCGCCTCGGAGCGGAGGAGGGCCACCGTGGTCTTGACGAGAGCCTGCTTCCAGTCCGAGCCGCCGCGGCCCGGTGCTGCAAGCGCCTTCATGTGCTGCCTGTGGCGGCCCACCAAGAGAGGCGTGGCAATCTCGATCGTCACGCCCAGCTGCTGGAGGAAGGCCGTATCCGGGGCCACTGGGGCTGCCATGGTGGCGACGCGGCGGGTCGTTTCTGCTGCAGTGCCTGGTGTGGGAACCTTGAGCCGAGGTGGCGAGCTGCGATCACCCCACCCTGGGCGCGGCCGCCCCCCCCCGGGTTCGCCGTCCTGGTCTGGCTGCGGACTGGGGGGAGGTGCGACGAAGGTGCCAGGGCCGGCCCCTGCCCCAACGCGCGCCAGCGACCCGGCCAAGACCGAGCCGACTGGCGGCATGAGGTGGGTACGCGGCGCGGCCCTCCCGCCCGTCCCACCGCCCGGGTCGCACCTGCTCCTCGGTCGGGGCGCCCCCCCCGAGTCCTGGCGGGCCTCGGCCGGAGGAGGAGGAGGAGGAGGAGGAGGAGGGGGAGGAGGAGACGGGGGGAGGGAGAGGGGCAGAGGGGGAGGGCCCCGAGGGGGGGAAAGGGGGTCGCCCCGCCCGGCCACGCGCCACGGACAGGCGCGGGTCTCAAGGGCCCTCCTGCTGCTCCTGCTGCTCCTCCTGCTCCTCCTCCTGCTCCTGCTCCTCATCCTGATCCTCCTCGTCCTCCTGCTGCTCCTCCTCCTGCTCCTCCTCCTGCTCCTCATCCTCCCTCTAGTCGTCCTCCCCAACATCCTCCTTCCCGTCTCCCCCTTTCCTTCTCCTCCTCCTCCTCCTCCTCCTCACCCTCCGCATTCTTTCGCACGAGCACGGCCAGATCTCCAGTTGCGTGAAATCCGCGACCGCCCGCTCACGAGAGAACCTTATTAATCGCTGACAGTACCTTAAGCAGATTTGCAAATGAACAGTTTCGGATGCCCAGGGCAATAAACATGAATATCACGATACAGACATCAGCCTCAAAATCAGCACAGTGACAGGAACACCATGAAGTATAAGATTCCATGTGTACGGCGCCAAACGCCACTCGTGATGCGCATCGCTGCGCATCATGACAACAACGCACGTTACCTAGCTGTACGTTGCCTGCAACCCTCGCGAACACCAATCGAAACACTTCTGTACAAACAACACAACACGCCGTACGACTGCAAGGATCTGTTATCATAGTGACTCCTAGCCGTGTTATCTACATGTGTTGGTAGATCGGGATACGTGCTGGAAAAACACAAACGTGTCGCACACGTGTGGCTGACGCGGAGCGAACCTCCCCCAACCGCTGTTGAGAATTTCGTCGCAAAAAATGCATCCCGAACTGACTAACCATGTCGTGCACGCGCAAATGAACGGGTCTGATGGTCCGTGAATGTGCCAACTGGGAGCACCACAAACTACGTACACATACAAACATATCGCTCGGAACTGAGAACCACTGACAAGTTTAAACCGTCGGCGCCTAAGGATGGTACACAACGTTTCTGGCACTCGTTCCACGGCGCGGAAATTGCTTATTGGTGGGGCTCTCGGCTCTGCAGAAACAATACCTTGCCAATAGAATGCTGATACCCCTGATCGCATACTCTGTCCCACTGCCGCGTAGGCGCCATCCACGCACTTCGCCGCATGACGTAACCTCGCACGGTGCAGTCACTGCAACCTTCATCCAGATTTCACCTCGCCCTTTCCCAGGAAACCAATTTCACCTGGCGTGTGCAAGTGGTCACACCGCCACCAAGACATCCCCGTGCAATCAAACCAACGGGTCACCGTGCTCGTGCTGAAACTGGAGGACATCTCGCTCTGGAATTCTATACTTTCTAAATGGGTGCTCTACCACCGCCGCCGATTTAGATGCTGAGCTTCTCCAAGACTGCCCGCTCAGGCCTCGCCTCCTCTCCCTTCTTCCGCTCCCGAATCGGGGGTCTGACCTGAAGTTTACAGTAAATCTGGCAAGGCCAGGCGTGCGGTAAGATCAATATCTCGCCATCGCTCGGACGTCCATTCCCCGTATAGTGTTCGGTGTCGTACGTCTTGTTGTCGTTTTCTTCTTATTTTTTCGCGCGATGATCCAAGATGCTCCTCGATGGTCTTCGCAGAAAAAACGCACACGTCCAAACGATGCCAAGATATAAGCCCGTGTTGTTGCCGACACAGTCGCAATATCTGTAACTTCGTAACTCCTTCCATTCCCAGGCGGCGCCTTTTCTGCGCGCGTGTCTGTTATCAACGGGTCTCCAGGACCCCCGGAGGGATGCGCGTGGAGGAAGAGGGGAACGAGAGAGCGGGGAGAAGAGGAGAAGGATGAGGAAGATGAAAAGGAAACAGGAGGAAGGAGGCGACGGGGGAGGGAAGCATTGATGAGAGGAGGCGCAGGAGAAGGATTGACACATATCCTAAGGTAGCACAGAAGGGATGCCCGTGTCGGCCGTTGAGCGTATCAGCCCAGCCGCTCCGACGTGCCACTGTCATCGTACGGCCGCCGCCTGAACCCTGCAGCCCGTTCCCTTTGTGAAGATCGGCAGTGTGCGGCAGTAAGTGGCCTGGCCGTGCACGATGACCCGACCACTGCGCACGGCACGACAGATGAGGCCCGAGCACCAGCAAGCTGGATGCCTGCAGCAGCCGCCCCCTCGGCGGCGACAGCCCGAGACTGGCGCGAGCGCCCGACTACGGAGGCCACGCCACCGCGAAGATGAACCCTCATGACATTCATGCGACAGGCACCGTGCACTTGAGGCCCGCATGGCCGCGCCACGCTGCCCTCCCATCGGGAGGTCTTCAGGATATGGTCGAATATGCGGTGGCAAAACTGCCACAGATTGACACATCGAGACCTGTCGTATCCGACATCCTGCCAAGAGTCGGCTCAAGCAGAGCTGAACCCACACTGCGAAGCGGGGTCGTACCTGATCATGCGACGTGCTCGACGGTGTAAGCGTCATAATTCAAGAGGGAACATCGTCCTCCTCTTCATTATTTGCAGTCGGGCATGGGCCGCCCTCTTTCTCCCTTCGAGCCAATCTGTGTTGGCAGAAATCTAACTTGGAACACCGCTGAATAATCTCAACCACCTTTTGTTGGATGGTGCGGAGTATGCGCCGGGGGGACTCACCATGAAGTGGCGCGGTCCAGCAAGGAATGGCACCCAACCCGGGATCAACCGGCACATGATCTTGCGTTCTGGCCGACCCCCTTCTACAGTCGGGCTGCTGAGGTAAGAAACGATGCCCCTTTCTGGCCCCCGAAGCGCCTGCGTGCACGAGGAGGGCTGGAGGAACAACCATGAAGGACCTGAGGAACATCGAGCCCCTTCCGACCCCAAATTGCGCCTTAGTTCAGCGTCTTGACAGTTGTGCGCACCCCCATTTCTCGAGTAGGAGATCGACGACACAATTGATTGACACCGAAAGCGAGACGTTCGTCGAGTCAAGGACATGTACTTAGCATGCTCCGTAGATCTACGCAGCATTCTACGCATGTTCCTTCGATTCGACTGACACTTGAACTGTTGAGCACATCAGCTCTGCAGTCGATCTCCTACTCGAGTGACCAGCTCGCTGAGTGTCGGGCGTTGGCAGAACTAGGTTTAGTGGAACCTGGTTTATTGATCTGTACTGGGGGCGCCCCCCACGTTCCATTTCCACTAACCAGAACTGCCGTCACCCGAAAAAACACCAGCTATGGCAAACCTGGTTTAGTGATTCTGGCCAATTCAAAGGCTCCAGGGCCCTACCACTAACCGGGTCCCCTTACCTGGGGTCCTGGCCATACCCCAGAGTGTTCTGCATGCCGAATCCTGACGCTCTTCGCGACCCGAGGGCTCGCCGGCCGCCCCGCGGCCCTCCGCCTCCTCGCCACGCCGCCTGTTGCTGCCCCCCGCGCGCCTCGGCTCGCAGCGGGCGCGCCCCGCCGTTCGCCTGACCGCCGGCTGGGCCCAACTGTCGGGGGCGGCAAAGAAGGGGGCGTCAAAGAGGGGGGGGCGCAAATCATGGCTGGCGGCATGTGCGCGGCCCAGGTTGGGGTCCAGGGCCGTATTGAAATAAGAAGAGGCGCCATGAAATCTGGGGAAATATCATGGCCCACGCCATGATATCCCCCCACCCTAGTCATCACCCCCCTCTTTGCCGCCCCCGAAACTTGACGGAGACCAGAAGTTCGGCGGCGAGCCCAGGGGGGGGGAGTGAGGGGGGGCGGGCCTTCTCTGAGTACCGTTCAACCGATCCCCATCCCCAGCGGCGTGGCCTGGGCCCATCTGGTCGAGTTACCCCCCATAGGTGGGGGTGCAGGTCGTTCCCTTCGGGCTTCGAGGGGTGCATCCCCGACCTGGGTGGTAATTTGGTGGGGTCTCGAAGGGGATGGGAACGGGGATGGGGATTGGTTAAACGATAAAGATTCTCAGGAGGCGGCGGGGCTTTTCGGAAGCCCTCGCGCCTTCTGACCAGTGTTCTGTGCCTCGGGGGACGGCTCAGAGAACTTCTCGGAGGGCCCGAGGCGTTCTGGGCCTTCTGACAAGGTCCACCCGCTCGGGCCTTCTCGGAAGGCCTCCCCCGGAACTTGCCGCCGCTTGGGAGGGACCAAACTTGCCGCAGACCAAGTCAGCGCTTCTTGGAATCATGGGTCTCAACATTGGGCCGACGGGTGGGGGGGAGGGGGAGAAAATTAACCCTATTTGACTTGGTGTTTTCTGTGAGTGCAACAAGCTTTGTTTTGACCAAGTCAATCTACACATGAGCCGTCGTACGAGCTGCGGACGTATGTACACGCACGCATGCATTCATAAACACATATGCAATCCTCCTCCTCATCCTCCTCCTCCTCCTCCTCCTCCTCTTCCTCCTCCTCCTCCTCCTCCTCCTCATCCTCATCATCCTCCTCCTCCTCTTCCTCCTTCCTCCTCCGCCCTCCTCCTCCTCCTCCTCCTCCTCCTCCTCCTCCTCCTCCTCCCTCCTCTCTCCTCCTCCTCCTCTCCTCCTCTCTCCTCTCCTCCTCCTCCTCCTCCTCCTCCTCCGCCTCTCCCCTCCCTCTCCTCCTCTCCTCCCCCTCCTCCTCCTCCTCCTCCTCCCTCCTCCTCCTCCTCCTCCTCCTCCCTCCTCCTCTTCCTCCTCCTCCTCCTCCTTCTCCTCCTCCTCCTCCT